CGGATAAGTCATATTCACGTATTGGTCCCAATGGAGGACCTCCTTCTGCTCGGGTGTATATCCCTCCCAACTGTGCACCTCTTGTATCTCCGGCTGATAGTAACTCCATTGCTGTTCAATATTATCGGCAATCAGTTTGTTGTGAACCACTTCTATCCACGCCTTCAACTCAGTCACAGACGCCAAGCCATCGCCGTCTTTGTCGATATTCTCGCCAAAGAGTTGAGACAACATTTGGCTGATTTCTTCGTGCGACGGCTGTGCGGCCGGCGGTGGGATCTGATCCATGTGTAAGTGATTGTCCATCTCTTCCATCGACTGGAAGGACGAGTCGTGAGTCCACACGAATGGCACCAAAATTGTGATCACTATTAGTAGATCTTTCATTGCTTTTGGTTTGTTTGCAGTTTAATAAATATTTAAATTAAGATATTTTCGATCCAATTATCACAACGTGTGAAATATTCTGTTAAATTAATTACATTGAAATCATTAAAAATTATTCAGATTCAAACACCGATTGTAAAAAAATATAACAAAAAAGTTTTTAATCTTCAAATATCGGAAACAATTTGTATATCAGATCTGGAAGTTATGCTTAAATTCAACTGAATCTTAAAGCAATGCTTAACGCCATTCAGACATAAAAGGATTGACAGTTTCGGTCAATAAACCCGATGTTTGGGTTCAGTTAATAAGTTTTTTCAGATAATAGACGTATTCATTGTCTAAATCTTATACAAAACACAGTAATAATAAAAACTCCGACAACTCATCAATACGTGAATACGCTTTCAATGCTTCACAAAATACTACCAAAAATGATAGTCTTTTTAAAAACTTTTCTTATAATACTCGAAATGATATATAATTTCATAATTAAGATAACATCTTGGTTTCAATTTATGATTTAAGATATATTTAAAGCAAACATAAGGTATAAAACAATGAAGATATAAATGTTAAGTGAAATTTACATACATTTCAAACAAACATTGTAATACGTGTGCACAAAAAGTGCAGACTTTTTGAGTTTGTGAAACATACAGACAAACCATAGATTGGATTCAAGAAAATGGATTTCACTTGAAGTCCAGAAATAAACTCAAATAGAAATCAGTGAAAAGAAATCAAACAATAATTGTATAATAATAAGTGCACACTAATGTTCCTGATGGTCAGGAAAGTCTGTAGTGAAATTGAGTAGAGAATACAGGGTTTGAAATACCCTTAAAAACCAATAAGAGTTCCTAAAATATTGTGTTTACGAAATTATGACAATTGTATGAGAGTTTTGTATTTTTGTTAAATTTTACAATAAAAAAAATTTCATAATCAAATGCTCAACACTAGGATCAAAACGATTACCTCAGACCTCCCTATCAGACAGTATCTTAAGGTCAGACCATATCATGCCATACCATACCATTCCTACCAATCAATTGAGTACAAGATTTGCATAAATTTTAATTTAAAATTTAATTCAAATTTATATTCAAATACACGTAAATATAATGTGCATAAACTTTGCCTAAATGAACCTAAACTTAGCCACGTAAAAATAGTTTATGCAATACTCATATGAAACAAAAACTGGTGTTTTAACCATTAAATGCATTTCATATGATTAATTGAAACATAAAACTCATTCAAACTTTGATAAACACTGGTGTCAGCGAAAGTTAATTAACAAAAACATTAAATTTTTTTGTAATATACAGTACAGTACATAGACATGTGTCGACAAACTTATATTACAATTAAAAATAGATATCAATTAAAAGTGCAAACAAATTACAAAGTGTTGTGTGTTATCTGCACAGTATACAAACTCTGTAAATTTGTGTTCAGTACATTACCAATAATTTTTTGTTAAGTGTGTTATTATGGAGTATATACTCTCATACCCACTATCACAACCTATATTAAGTGATTTAATTACACTATAAATACAAAACGATTCGTATGGACATGTGATTTAATTAACTACTAAAATATAATAATAATGATGTGATTACAACGTGTATAATGTGATGACAAATAGTAAAACAAAACTTTAATTTTGAGACATCTTTTCAAAGTTCAAATATAGTATTGTCTATCGATTCCGTAGACAGCGTTACACCTTATAAGCACTATTCCTGTCCCCCGTTTATGCAGAATCACTAAGTTTTTATAAACTATTCATAATTGTTAAGAATATTCTGTATTCTTGTTATAGAAGTTAGATAAATGAACTGGTATACTACTCTATCCATATATTTTATTCACAGTTTAATATTGTTATATGGAATGTATTGTTAAATACTATCCTAACTGAACTTGGTAACACGATAGCAAGCACAAGAGCGCCGGTACTGCACTTGCCGCCCCACGGCGTGGGTTCGCCCTCTCGTTTGTCCACCTCTTTGATGAAACCCGAGAATATGCGGGCCTTGTAGTCGGTGGAGCCGCACGCGAGCAACACGTTGTTTGGGTGCCAGTCGATGGACGTGACGGTCGATCGGATGGGCTTTTTGATATGTTTAGAGACCCACCAGTCGTTGGACTCTTCGAAATAGCAAACGGACACCAGTTTAGCACCGCTTCCCACCGCAAACTTGTCCTCTTTGGGTGACCACCGGACACAAGTGGCCGCTCTGTTGATCCTCAACAACACTAGCGTTGGCTTCCATTGGTTGTCCTGAGGGTCCAGTGACCACACGTAGGCGTTCCGGTCCTATACAACCACAACAACACACAGTTTGTCAGCATATCTATCACTGGTTATGAGATCCGGTGATCACTTACCGCAGAACAGGTCACTATTCGGTTACTATTGGCGGCCCAATCAATGCTTGTTATCCTTAAGTCGTGTTGATTTAAATTATGACTTAACGTCCATTTGATGCCTTCCCTCTGATAGATGTGAACCTCGTTATTATTAGGCGATAGGGCCACCCCTGCAATGGACACATATATCGGTTAATACCAATGTTTCGTAGTCTTTAGCATATCTTACTATTTCTGGAAGCGTTGAACGCGTGACAGGGAATGGCATCCGTGCCGAAGGAGTTTATTTCAGACATATCAGTGTCTTATGAATTATAAAATTTGTTTTTATATAAATGTATTCAAATAGCTTTTGACACTAATTTAACGCTATATTTACAGCCCATAAAACACTTGTCATTCAATTAGTCTTAAAACCATTTCATGAGTCGTGTGTCCACTGAATCGATGGCCTAAATAATGGGCACAAAAACAAACAATTAGTCTAATTATTAGAGACTAATACATAGCAAACAATTTTGTGTAATCACTCACTAATGCTGAAAATATTTACACAAATTAGTGGAAATCATAGCAAAAGGTATTAAGAAAAAGGTGTAAAATAATGATTGAAAAGAGATTTACTTATTATTTGCACAAAAAATAGAGATAAAAATGTAATAAAATAGATATCAATATATTTTAGCAAAAAATATTAGAGACAAACAAAACACACAATTTGAGTGAAATAATGATAGACTGTTTCGTAGCAAACATTTGGCAGCAAATGTGCAACGATTTTGGTGTTAATAGTTATGCGACAGAAAAATAATACAAAAAAACAAAAAATTACATTATTTTCACACAAAAAACGAGATTTGAATCAACTATTTGTGACACTCGTTGAGTCAATGAGACATACAATTGATGTGTGAATACTATTAATGAGTATTTGTTTGCCTTTTTTGCCAATCAATCAAACGGTTAGCGAAATGCAAATTCAATGACTAATTAATTGGTTAATGAATGCCATTAATGAGTAAGACATACAATTGATGTGTGAATACTATTAATGAGTATTTGTTTGCCTTTTTTGCCAATCAATCAAACGGTTAGCGAAATGCAAATTCAATGACTAATTAATTGGTTAATGAATGCCATTAATGAGTCAATGAATGATCGTAAATGAGTTATAAATAAAACGATTAATACATTAAAACAATTGCATAAACGATAAGAAACGCCCAAAAACTTAACGCAAAAAACTTAACACTCAATGCATGTATAGAGACATGAGTTTTGGTGTCAAATGGTATCCCAAATGACATTTAAGCCAAACTATAGCCGATAAGTGACACCAAATGTGTACTCATTTGGACATTCATGTCGTGAAAACACAAATTGAGTGTTAAATTGGCGTTAAATCGGTAATCAAATGAGTGAATAATACTTACAATTAAATGTTTGTGTGACTCGAGTGTAGCACTGAATCGCTATTGCATTCACTGTTGGACTCAATGTATACCACAATCTCTGCGGAGGATATCATAGACTAGACTTGTATTGAGTTTATTGAGTGAAACGACAACTCATTTGCCTTTTGCTGGCAGTCAATAACGACTACCACTCCACTGGTGTTTGCCATCCCTGTGCACACTCCCCTTCACTGGTCTCTATGTTAACGTACGGCACGCATAGGTGTGCCCTTCCCTGCACTGTATACGTGGGCCACACGTATGTTGTGTGAGCGCCTGTACCGGCATTTCCAATGGGAAGCCATTCGCATATGACATTCACATACAATTCCCATCGCGTTTCCTCTCATATCCTCAACACTTACTGTATTTCCTATTATTCTATGCTTTCTATGCTTTCTATCTCTATTTAATACCATTTTTGCTATAATTCAGAGACAAATAGTTTTTTGTTTCAAAAGTTCTCAAATTAATTATTTTTCTCTGAGCTATGATTAAAGCCATAAAAATTTAATGAAATAAAGTGTCCATTCATTTAATGAAACTTTTAAGTTTATTCTTATACTATGTGCCTGGGATACCGTACAAATGAGACAGCAACTTAGGAATGTATTTACCCGGATACCAAGAAATAGGTGTTTATGTGCACATTACACAAACAAAGTTTTATTTGTAACATATATTGAGAATGATTTTCAAAATTGTTTTAATTTATAGGTTATATAAGAATTTGTCTCAATATAGGTCTCAATTAGTAATACAAATGCGAGTATTGTTTGCAAAGTCATACCAAATGAGTACATCTATGCTCTTAATTGGCATCAATTGTGTTCAATATATTGTCAATCAATTAAATTCA